TTTTCTTCAAAAACCTGAGGCATGAAACTACACTGAGGTTAGTGTTTATACTGTTGCTTTTGAAGTTGTTCATGGATCCAAGAACTGGTTTGTTTTTGTTTTATCTCCCTTTGGAATGTATATTAGAGCAGTATGTGCAGTTTTGGAATAGTGATATTTAATACAACAAGAACAATTTTATTATTATTTGACAAACAAAACTGAAATCTAATATTGAATGGGTGATTTTACTTAGGTTTATTAGAAAGCATCCTGAGCATCTCTGTATGACATAGGCTGCTGGCTTTTGGCCATGAAGCTGATTGCTGCTGAGGCACTGAAGAGAGGTTTTCTGCTGGGGGCTGTGGGAGTGATTGGCCTCAGCAGGTGCCTGATCGTGAAATGTCTCGCCTGCTTGCCTCCCCCTCTGTTTGAGGGGGGAAGCTCTAAATGAGCTTCCCAGAGTACAGAGACATGGAACTGACTAAGACAAGACATTTCTGCTTTGGAGACTCTGTAGCTTTAAAGTCTGCTGTGTAGCATCCAAAAAAAGTCCCCTTCTGTACCTGTGATTCATAGTTGATTTTAAAAACTCGCCTCATTCTGTACATACAGAATTAGAACAGATCCATCAAGGATTTGAAGAATGTTTGCAGTGTTTAGAAGTTAGTTTGATTCATAGGTAGCCGGTTATATAATTTTAGTGCTATGCTCTTCTATTGCAATGCATGCATCTTGTTGCATTGATTTGTTTGTGTTTAATAACAGTATGTTTTAAGGATATGCTTTTTTCCTCCTAGAAATTAGACTTTAGGTGTTCTTTTGCTTTTGTCCATCAGTTTACTAGTCTTTTGGTATTTAAGCATAGGTGGTAATGTAGTTCACTGGTGACTGATGGAAGATCATTTTACTAAACTAAGGAGTAATTTGCAGTTTAAGAACAAAATCACTTATACAGGACAAAAGAAAGGGGTACAAAAATAGTAATGATTTATAAAGATAATTTCAAAGCTTCCTATACATTGCACTTATACCTTTTTATATCTTCTGCATCTGGTGGATTTTTCAAAGTCTAGGTAGAAAAATGACATAAATGGAGTTAGTTTCCATTGCAATAATGAATATGGAGAACGTTTCTTTCAGTTTTGGTTCAAATATGTACACAGTTTTACATATACATAAGCCCAAGTATTGATATGATTTTATTGTTTGTAATGGTAGTGCACAGTTACAGTGTCTGAGGATTGTCAAAACTGAGGCTCTTGAGGTATAAATATGTCTGCAGTATGGAAAAGATCCTTAGTTATTTCAAGTGTTCTGTTTCATTCTGCTGTGTTCAGCACAGATACTTGTTTATTTTTGTATATGTATTCTTGTGATTATATTCCTCTCACATTTGTGGTAAGACTCTGCCCTTGGAACTTCAGTCTCACTTTGTTATAGGAGCGTCACAAGCCAAGGATGCTGGCTAGTACTCCCATGGAAGACACATGCTCCAGCTGAGATTTCCTAGAAATACCAACCTCACCTCTTTTGCTTAGTCATATCTCTTATCCAAAATCAGTAGGTGTTGGAAGTCTTATTTGCTGTATATAGATAAGGAGATTACTGCTCTGGCATCCCTCTGCACGTGCAGTTCTTCATACTCTTGTCCAGTAATTTGTTCGTTCAAGTGTGTCTGTGACAGCCTCCCCAATATAAGGCAGATTCAATTCCCTGCCTGCTTGGCAGGTCTTTGAGACATCACCAGGGGCTCACCAGGCTTCTCAGCACCTGCCTGTGTTTTTCCTCATCTGCAGGATGCATTTACCAGCCATATTTTTCAGGCATTTTCAGCCTGGGGTTTGGCTGAAGTAATTTTACAACTGTATCCCATGTGTGCTTGTTTCATCCCCAGCAGGCAACAATTTAAGAGTGACCTCTTGAAAGTCAGATGATTAGTTGTGGGTTGTTGTGTGTTTGCTGCCAGAATCAAACAAGAATGTGATTTTATTTATTTTTTGTTTTGGTTTTTGTTGTTATTTTTATTGACTCGTTTTAGACTTCTTTTGGATGCTAAGGCTTCCCCCTGCACCCCATGAAAATAGTCACCCTGAAGCCTTACTGCTGAATGCACATAGGTTTGTGAATTGCATCATGAATTACAACACATGAACATCACGTGCGTTAGTTGCATTCAGAGAAAGCTAGATTTTATTCACTTCAGCAGTCCTATCACAAAGCACAGTGATCTCTTTGACCTTTAGCTTGTAGTGCCCCTACATTCCTTTTCCTTTTTCAGATCTTGCTGATAAATGTCAGTGTGCTGTAATGTGTCGGTCTAGGGATCCGTTTATGGCACCTCTTGCCCAAAGGACTGAGGTTCTTCCCTATAAATAGATATGTTGTTCATACCTTTCTCTATGTGTATGGGTTCCCTAATCTGTTTTATAGTAACCCGGTCTCTTAACTCATAAATTGGGTATGAACGTCAGATTTTGGAGGAATTTTCCCTTTGTTTTTGAAGGCTTTTGTAAAAGGATGCACTGTACAAGTTGTAATTCTGATGAATGTAGCAAGTCAACTTTTTCTGAAATTAGTGTATCATCTTTTTCTTCTACTTTTCTTCCTTGTGTGGGACTTGCTCTGCTGACTTTTCCTTGTTAGTACCCTTTTTTTTTCAACTGGGTAAAATTGTTCTGTTGACCTATGAAGTGCTGAGGGACTGACCACTATTTTGAATCTGAGAGATGACAAATCTCCCTACTTTGAAGGCCTCCCCTCTCACCAGAATCATCTATTTACTAGCACAGGATTAACACCAAATGGAAGGATTTTTTTTTTTTGTTTTTGTTTGAATTTTTTGGCTGTTGTTCTTATCTTCTAATAAGTGCTACTGCAGTTGTCTGTGGGACATAGATTGATGTTAAGAAATGCCAGCCATGATCCACTGAATGTGAAATTTCCTGCTTTCAGTCTATTTGTTGTCAAATTATACTTTTTTTTAATATTGTGTTTGGCAATGTTTTTTCTCTGTTAAATATCTATCTTCAGATCTGTCTGATAAACATGTCACAGCTGTCATGCAGTATAGTCTCTTGAGATTTTAGGAAAGCTGTAATTGTATCAGGGAGGCTGATGGGACACTTCCCACAGGTTTTCTGGCAAGTGTGACTGTTAGTACAGAAATGCAAAGACTGAATTCCTAGTATTTTGAACATTTCTACCCCTTTTCCATAGACAGATTTCAAGACCTAGCCTCACTTCTCCAGTTGGAGAGTGAATGGTGTTGAGACTGATGACTGTATTTTGTCCCTGCTTAGGACAGTAGGGACTGCTTGGTCCCTGCTGAATGAACTGAAACAGAGGCAGTCAAAAAACCAAGAGATTAAAGCCTTCCTTCTGCATCCCTTTGAGAAGCCACTTACAAGAGCCTGGCTGTGGCCCAAGATGAACTCCACTTTTGGAAATAACAGTGAAGTAATTCTGCCATTGCAACACCACCCTAAAATGTAGCTCTTTATTCAAGGAACTAACTCATGCTTGCAGGCAAAGGAAAGGGCTGTGAGATTTTGTATGCACAGCGCAGGCAGCTCCAACCTCTCTGCTGTAAGATTAGGAAATGCATCTGGAAATGAGGGAATCTGCACCATCCAGGACTTATCTTTGCAGGCAGCTATAAGATGATTAGCAGGTTGAGGACCAGGAATATAAATCAGTGCATAGATCTTACTATGTGTTGCTATATTTCTCTTTCTCCCCTTGGCAATGAAGCTAATTGAAATTCAGTGACACCAGATTAAAAGATTAATTTATTGCCCATTCACAGTCAATAATGTGAACTTTACAAACGTTTCTGTTGCAAGACTATTTCATTCAAGTGGACCAAAGGCAGTTGAGCTGAACATCGGCAGTGACCTTCATCAAAGAGGCACACTGCTCAAGAGGCTTCTTATTCTGGTCTGAATGTACTGTGGGTCACTGCAGGCTATAAACCTATTGAGAGTAATGCAAAAAAAAAGTCCTGTAACCAGTCTGTCTGCAATGTTGAACTCTTGACTTTCTAGTAGCTGCAGCTGGGGAAGTCAGCTTCACTATTAATGAAACCTTCCATGCACATGACCAGTCATTGACAAATACATAAACTTGGAAGAGATTGTTTAGATGTAAAATCTAAAGTGGAAAAAGCTGATTTACAGCCTTCCTCTGTCCTCTTCCAAGAAAAAATAATACATTGAGAGAAGAGGCTGGAACTTGGCATCCAGTAAACTGTGTGTGCCTGTCCCTGCTTGTGTTTCATGGTGAATGTGCACAGCTTCCAGCTACTACAGTACAAGTGAAGTTTGATTTTGAAAAATAAGCAATACTGTGCAATACTTCTCCTCTCATTCAAATGAAGTAAGAACAAGAACTTCTAAATATTGCTTCACCAGAAGGGAAGTGTGCAGCAGCTTTCAAAGAGACATACTCTCAGGGAAGAAGGGCAACTGGGCTGACTAGGGGCCTGGAGAACAGGTCTTATAAGGAGAGATTGGGGGTGCTGGGGCTGTTCAGCCTGGAGAAGAGGAGGCTAAGGGTAGACCTCATTGCTGTTTACAACTACCTGAAAGGAGGTTGTAGTGAGGTGGGTCTTGGCCTCTTCTCCCTTGTGACGAGTGATGGGACAGGAGGAAATGGGGTCAAGTTGCACCAGGGGAGGTTCAGATTGGATATTAGGAAAAATTTCTTCACAGAAAGAGTGGTGAGGCATTGGAACTGTCTGCCCAGGGAGGTGGTGGAGCCACTATCCCTGGAGGCATTAAAAAAATGGGTGGATGTGGTGTTCTAGGAGATGATTTAGTGGTTAGGGGTTGTAGGGCATGGCAGAGGGTTGGACTTGATGATCTTGAAGGTCTTTTCCAATTTTGATGATTTTATGATTTTCTATCTCTTTACCCCTTCCTATGAAACAGCACTGTGAATAAGATACTTTCTTCCTGTGTTGCGAGAATATAAGCAGAAACCACCCAAGTTTCTGATTTTCCATTCTTATGATATTTCAGCTTAACGATGGTGGCAAGGCAGCCCAAGCACACGTGGGGATAGGTGATGTAGTTCTCACCATTGATGGGATAAGTACGGATGGGATGACTCATCTAGAAGCACAAAATAAGATCAAGGCGTGTACAGGCAATTTGAACATGACTCTGCAAAGGTAAGATACCTTTTTCTTGTTTTCTTTTTATTATTATTATTTTTTTTAAGAGCGAATTAATCATAATCATAACATTTGTTTGGAGGATAAAAACATGTAGGTGGTTTGGCGAAGTGCATGGAGTTAAGTGGGCACGATTGAGAGATACACTGCTGTAATCTGAAATGTGTCCTGATTTATAGCATTTTGGAAAACTTATTAGATATTAATTATGTGAGTCAACAAAGACCTTTTCCAACCTTCTGTTACCTGGTTTACGTTAAATGAAGTCTGGTTCCTCTTCCTTTTGAGCTTCAATTTTGCTAACACTTCTTTAATTAAAAAAAGATCCTATTCAGGCTCTTTTTCCCTTCCCCCTCTATTGGTTAACTAACTAGGGGCACTTTGGTTTTGGGTCAAGTCCTACATTGTCATTTTTATTGGCAAACATGATGCATTGATGATGAATGATGCATTTAAACAGTCAACCCCTGAGTTACATGGATGAAAATACTGCGGCAGAGTCCTGGAGAGATGTTTCCCAAGGTGATACTACTGTTTCACAAAGTTGCAGCCTCCCCTTGCTAATTGTGAACTCTACTATAGAAGTTACACCTTTGCTCAGTCTCCCCATTCCTATAATGTACGGTTTATTGAATCTTGGCATACCTCTCTTGGCTCGGGACTATATTTTAGGAGGGGTTGGAAGAAGGGAGCAGGTTTCTCATGAGTGAGTTATTGGATCTGAAGCAGAAAGAGCAGCAGCATGAGCAAAAAGTTCCTTCAAGCTCTCAAAAGTCTCCCAGGGCTAAATCCTGGCTTTTATTAGAAAACTGCTATTTTTATTTAATGACGTGAGGAAGCATCTTGGAGGAGGATTGACCTCTGAAGCTCTCATGTAATGAGAACCATCTTTTCTTGTTATCATAGAGAACAATGGCAGACATGCTCTGTGATTGCTGTTCATGTCTGCCTGCAGCAGTGCAAAGTTCCTCGATGAGTGGTGGTTGAGGCCTACAACAGTATCTCTTCACCAGTTACTGCCTTTCCTGGCAAATCATCTTGCCCTTAGTGAAAGGACAACTTCACTCAGAGTTCATTTATACAAGAATGAAAGAGATTATGTGGCTGTAGGTCTGAAAAACATCTGGCTCTCCAGGGTAGTGGTGCTTGTTCCTACCCCTATGTTATATGTAGTTGAATGGTTGTGTGAGTGCTTTGTTTTCTAAGAGGCTACGTTTTAGCTTTACTTCTTGTTTCTTGTTTTTCCTGTTGCTCTCTGTATTTCAGTTTAGCTACCCTTAAAAAGGGATTCCCTTTGCTTAATCTCTGAGGAAAGGAGTTATCTTGTGGCATGGTTCATGCCTAGAGCATCTTCTCAAATGAAACTTGTAAAGTTGGCATTAAAAGTTTCTCGATGAAACAGATACTATACCAGCTCATCAGGGCAATCATGCATTGTATCCAGTGTGTTACCTTTCTATCTCCCAGCAAGGCAGGCAGGTCGTTTAGAAATGCACTTTCCGGGAGTCCACTGAGTCACTTGAATAGGCAGCTGGGAGTGGATGGGTTTGATCCACTTTCTTTGGCCATAAATTGATGGGCAAGGTTAATATCAGATAGAGGAAAGGAGCACCAGGTGTGTCTTGTTCAGGCAATAACTTGTCTGAGGCTGCTTCTGGTTTGGTGCAGGGATGAGTGGTTTGAAGATTGAATTAATTATGAGGTAGCTTAGTCTCCCCTTGTTCTCACCCTTCTTACCCAGTGTAGCATCTGACTCACCAGCATCAGCTACTTGACAGCTGAAGGCTAAGTCAGGATGAGACTAGCAAAAATCAAAGGACTAGCCTTGGTCCTAGCATCTGGGGATGAGACACATGTCCTGTCTTGCAGCTCATCAAGTCTGTCGTCTGTGGTCTCAGCTGTTTCTAATTCTGCCTGGATCCCATGAAACCAAAGACATAGAGGGTGCTCTCCCAGCTCCTCTGCCTGTAAAAATGTCCTTGCTGTTATTGCTTGTTTAGTAGGAGATTTGCTACAGTTGTTTATTTGTTGTTCTTAGCCTGGAAGAAAGTGCTTCTTAGAGTCAGACTGGCTCATGCTAACTGCAGATGCTGGATGCCTGTGGGAAGAAGGGCTTGAGACTATAAGCAGGGTGGCAAGATAAGCCATTTTAATATTGAGGGATCTCCATAATCATATTCTCCTTATCTTGCCTCTGCTTTCAAACAAAACTGAACTAAATTAAATACTTTGAGCTATTATTGTTCATGTGCAAAGTTAAAAGGATGCTGTCAATGTAAAACTGTTTGCTTTCAAAATGAGTTGGTGCCATAGGAAAACCTAAAACTTTTTTTAAAAAAGGCTTTTGGCTATCTTCAGGGTTTTTTACACTTCCCTGAACATTTATTTGCTTCCACACAGACAACTACCTGTTTGAACTACAATGCAGGAATGTTGAGGTTAGTAGTGAGAGCATATATAAATTCTTCACACTGCCCTAGTTTGCTGCTGCTTTCAAGAAGCACAGTGTTTGATTAGTGGGATTTCTTTGAGGTTCAAGAAAATTGGAAGAGCTCTATGGTTTGACCTAATGGCTTTTGCACTTAACTGTGTTCATGTGCTATTTTATGAAAGATGCAAAAGAACTCTGTGATCAGATTAGTTCTAGGAACCAGAAAATATATTTTGTAAGTTTAATTTGGTACATTTTTGGTGGTGATCTCTATTAATGATAAACTGTAGCAAGTCCTGTATACTCTATGGGTGTCTGTTTTATTCTCAGTTACAAATTGACATAGATTCATATGGAATACTACATGGAAATTAATATTGTGGTACAGACTTAAGTGTAATGAAAAAATAATGGCTATATGGAGAAAAATGGCTGGGTACACCACCAACCTCGTGGTATGTCAGAGATGGGGCTGGCTGGGCTGTTTGCTAGGGAGGGACTAAACATAATCAGTACTTATTTGAAAAAGGAACAGGATCTTGCTCTGTTTTTTTTAGGATCTTTGTGTGTGTGTTGTGAGAATCAAAATGATAGTTGGTAGAAAAGCAGAGGAACACCCTAGAGATTAGTAGGCCAGTGAACTCAAGTGTGTCCCATCTGAGGTTGATGGGCTCCAGCACCCCAGTTTGCATGGTGGCCAGGGCAAGGTGACAGCCTGCCTTTTTAAAAGGTACAAAGGAAACTTTTTGAGTCTATGTGGCAAAGGCAAGAGAGGAAATTTCTTATGATCAGCTTTGTCATTATACATATTTTAACTTGATATGCTTTTATACTGCTGCTCAGGTTTTCACTTGACTTTCTCTATTCTTTATGTTCAGAATGGAAAAAGTAAAACAAAGAGAAACAAAATAAAGGGCAAGAAATAGCTTGCCTGGGAGGATGGAAGGGATAGTTAAAGCAATGCTGTAAAAAAAACTTTACTTACAGGTTTAAAGTAGTGTATTTATGGAGGCAGATGTGCACATACCTCTTGTGGAAAATCAATTTAGATGTTTCCTAACTTGCAAATTAATGTTGGCAAAATATTTGAAGGGAAAATAAAGATCCCTTTTTTCTTGCGTAAGGCAATGCATCATGTTGGGTTTTTAAATATGGAATTGTTCTCTGCCTCTGAAAGGAACTGAAATTACAGCTGTCACAATTGCAAGACCACGTTGCTTAAATACAAGTGGATAAAATGGTGCTTACCAGCCATATATAGAGGTAGATAACTAACACTTGAGAGAATTGTAAAGTATTTTCAGGTATGTGTCTTTAAAATTAATTAGTTGTGTAAACAAGTCTTGCTGTTTACTATAAAGCTTATAGTTGTAAACTTGTGAAATTAAAATACAGTTTTGGTTTGTTATTTATTCTTTTTTAGTATTACATATGGCTTGAAGTTTTGAGGGAATTTGTGGGGTTTTTTGTAACATTGCAATGTTAGGTTCCTGATTTATTTTTATTTTTTTTTAAATATTAAATGTATTGCATAGGGAGTTTGTATGCATCTCTCTCTCCTGAGATCTTGCTCTTTTACACCTCAATATTTTATTTTCAGTTAAAGCTCTTGCCTGGTTCCCATGAGGACAGATGAAAACCAGATGCTTGGTTTTTGGATATATTTTAAAGTTCAGGAACTTAGCATGGATTCCATGAATAAATCTGTAAGTGACGGAACAGCTAAGAACCACCACCTATTTTAAATATTGGTTTTGGGGACTGTTTCCATAGACTCTTGCCTTAATAATTATTTGGAAAAGAGAAAGATAAAGAATTCTGTATTTCTACTACTATTACATGAGATCCATGATACCCATGAAACTTCTGGAAAAAGTGTCAGTGAGCCCTACAAGGATAAAATAATACAGAAAATCCTGGAATGTTGGTTTTGGTTTTGTTTGGGTTTGTGTGGTTTTGTTGGGTTTTTTTTGTTGTTGTTGTTTTGGTTTGGTTTTTTTTTTTGTGGGTTGTGTGGGGTTTTTTTTTCCCCTTTTATAATATAAACCTTATTTACCTCTGTATTTTGTAAATCAGATTTGTACAGCTATAATGTGCTTTTTTTCCTTTCACCTCTGCCTGGGAATTTGAGTCACTTAGGACAGAAGGTATTTGGATTGCTTGTCTGGGGAAGTGAAAGGATTCTCAAGGTTGTTTACCTCTCTGGCTGTATTGCAGTGCTTCAGAAATGTTTTTGAGTGCTCTAGGTTGGCAGTGAGCAGTTACTACAGTTCTGCTTCCAAGTCTTCAATGGATTACTGGATTTTTGCGAGTGAGCTTGGATGTTACAAAGTAATAGATGAATTTGTGATGTGAATTTTTTATTTCCCTAAACCTCTTCAAACCACAGAGTTGCCCAAGTGTCACAGGGAAGGGGCTAAGATCTGCTGGGTATTTTTAATGTCCGTATTAACAGGATGTGGCGTCAAAATTGAGATGAGTCTTAATAGTGGGTTCTGCAGATTGTAACTCAAGCGTTAAAAACTGTAATACTTATTTTATCTACTTGCCTGAGTATGAATCTTCTGTCATACCATTCTCCCTCATCTTTAAAAGTTTTCATCCAGGAAACACAAAGTCTAGACTTCTAGCTTAAGAACAGCTGAAATTCTCATGACTTGAGATGGGGTAATAGCAAAGAAATGTTATGGATCATTTTATTTCCATTTTCAAAGGTAATTTTTCGAGTTACCATTTCAGAACGGGTTGTCTGCAGTAAGACTACCTCAGTAGACTTATTATTTTTATTGTTCCCAGTCTTGCTTGTATTAGAAAACAATAGAATATTACCATATATTGTGTGGAGAGCCTTGCTTTGCTTCAGAAATACACAGGAGAAAGAGTATTTTCCTGTGTGAAGAATGTGTGTACTGATAAAGTATATGGACAATATGAATGCTCTTTTACCTCTTCTAGAGATGGCAAATGAGATGCCTTGATGTAAACCAGGTTTTAAGAAACGGGAGGCCTTTACTTCTCAGATGTTGCAATATTCACCCAGTGTAGGTTAGCTGTAAACTAATTTCACAAAAATAAAAACCAGCAGTGCAGGGCATGGCACCATAAATCACAAGAGCCAGGCATAGACACTGCTACCAGAGGGGGCTGAAATTTAGTATTTAGTTGTGTCCATAGAAAGGTAAGAAAATAGAATAGTTACTAAATAAAATGGCAGGAGAGGCTATTATAAGAAAAATAAGAGGAGAAAGAAGTTGAAGAATGCAAGTATAGACAGGATTTCAAACTATTAAAAATACAAGCTTCACTTTAGATGATGGTTAAAACTCATGCTTTCATGTTTATGAGTCATGGGTTCCTTGGGATGGTTATTTTGTTTCCATAAACCTTATATGGATGAGCTTTAAGAAAGCCACGATAAGAATGCGTTCGGAAGTCTTATTTTTCTCCAGCTTTGGTTTGCTAGTCATCACCGTTTCCCTTACATGGGCATTTTGACTTCAGTTTTGGTCTGTAGTGATTTGCTTTTTTAGCATTATAGATGATAGTTGTTTGTCCTGTGCCAGTTGAACATAGGCAGTAAATTGGTTGAAAGCATCACAACTTCTGAGTATTTTTTTCTAAACCTGAAAACAATTTTTTGGCTTGAATTCTTTCTTCTATAATATTAATTCTTGCATAACTCTTCTTTCAAGGATATAAAAAATGAGTGTTGGCTGATTAAGGCATTAAGCACCAGTATCCCTTTTTAATTGATAGAGTTGAGAGGAAAATTATAAAACTCAGTAGAGGTCATATGTCTAACAGTATATGGGCAAACTGTATATTTCTAGCTTAGCTGCTAGTCAGAACCTTAGGCAACTTATTCCTCAGTCCTCAATTATTAATATTAGTTTCCAATAACTATGTCTGAGAATGAATCAGCTGCAAAATAGTGCCTTCCAAACAGAGGTTTACTTTTCTTATTTAGCCAAGTAGCTAAGCATTGAGCTGGTGGCTATTCCAGGTATTCCGCTCAGTGGAATTGAAATAGAGCCCCGTGAGACTTCAGGCATTCTTGCTGAACTTTGTTACTGACCACAGACTTTACTAAAAGCTTCAGTAAGAAACAGTGAACCTGTTTCTGATCTGTTGCTGATCCTAAATGGTCATGGCCTTCTCCGTGCCAAATGCCAGCATTTCAGCAACTTTGAAGCCTTAAAGCTCTGAGTTAAGTTGTTTGGTTTTTTTTGGTTTTTTTTAGGAAAAAAAAAAAAAGAATCAGCTGTCAAATTTTTCAGTAGCCTATAAACTCAAAGCAGTGGAATTTTGGGGAGTTAATCTAACTGGCTTAATGATACAGGTATAGATCTTCCTTGCCCTGTGCATTAAAATTCCTGAGTCTCTTGTCCTTTTCTTTATCCTGTTATTTTTGTGAAATTGCATGCAAAAGTGTTTCCAAAGAAGCATTCAGGTTCCAAAGCCAGGTATGCAGAAATAGGAAAAATGTGGTAATGGAAGAGTCTCCATTAAAAACAAAAATGTATCACTTTGTTCTGCAGAAGAGGGCCTGCATGACCAGGCAAGAAGAGTAATAAGGTGAAGAAAGTAATATGGCCCCCAGAGTTTATTGGTTAAAAGTATCTGGTGACTGGTTCTGTAGTTCCTCTTGTGATCTCCAAAATTTCTATATAATTAGCACTCAAGTAAAATTTTTTCAGAAATTTTGGCTGAGGAGGTGGAAGGGGAAGAGAGCTGTGCCAGCAGGGCTATAATGGGGGTCAGCCTTGAAGGTGGGTGGACATGAACACATGCACAGGGTACTGGCACTGGTCTTGGGAGAAGTTTTCATTACAGATGTGTGAAGGACATTACAGATGTGTGCATCTGGTGTGAGGCTGTGCGGCCTGCCAGACCCTTGTCCTGCCCAATTTGGGGTTTCTCTGCAGCTCTGAGCGGCTGAATGGGGCTAGGGAGAAATGCTGTGCAGACCTGGGTCTTGTCCTGTCCATGGCCCTCAGTGGTATTTGGTCTCAAGGGAGAAGGGTATCCAAGGCTGTGTGCCTCAGGTCATGAAAATTGCCAAATGGTTTTGCCAGCCTGACCTATTGGCCCAAAGGTAACCTGACTTGCAGGACCAGTGTTGCTGTGTAATGGATGTAAAGTAACCAGGTGCTGCTGATACAGTTGCCTTTAAATTGCAAATTTGCAGAATCCATTTCCGAATGAACATTTCTTTGCAGTAAATTCCATGAACTCTGTGCAGGCTCTTAAAATTCTTGTGACCTATGTAAATACCAACCCCTGGACTGGGAGGTTATCCTTGTTTGAGCTAGGACGGAGATGAGGTGTTGCTGGTCTTCAGCCTGGCAGTTTTCACCCCTCTCAGCTCTGCTGGTGGTGTCTTACTGAAGAATTACTTCTCTTCTTAGAGCGTGGGCTGGTGACTTCCTAGACCACGTCTGAGACAATGGATGCTGGTGTGTGCCCAAGGCACAGGGTGACCACTGACCTGAAGCCTTCTGTGCTCATACCCTTAACAGGAGCTTTTCTAAAGCTGAAAGGGTTTTGTGTGTGTTTTTTTAATACTGTACAAGCATATGCAGTACAAACAACTTGAGTAATCTTAAGTCCTTCTGTTTTGTCTGGTTGTGAAACTAAGCAGCATTGGGTAAAACATTGTCCAAAGAATTCAAGGCTAATGAAGATGCTGGTTTCTTTGCATACAAAGGTGCCCAGATGTGTAAGTATGTGCACTTTTTTTTTTCAATTAGAGGCAAAGTAGAAAGATTCTGCTCCTAAATTAGCAGCAGAGCAGGTTTTGCTAGCTAAGCCATGTCTTTGGAAAGCTTGCCCACAAACTAAATAAATAGAAGGGTACAGCTTTTGCTTACAGCTGGAATGCAAAATCTTCTGTTGCGTACAGGACTTTGCTGCATGTCAACTAGCAATTAGGTGAACCACAAAACATCCTGCAGCTAAGTGAACCTGACAAACTAAAGACTTGCCTGGAAGTTCAAAGGAGAGTTGCTCAGATGAAAATAGAAGGTTGCAGGATAAAAATGGAGTTCAGTGACTTTTGCAGGATCATACCTACCCATCTGCCAGGAAAATGGGTGAGAGCGAGGCCTAGCTAATCAATAGGAGCCCTCCTCACATTTTTAGAACCTTCCTGGAGATCTTTAGGGGCTACAAAAGACCTGGATGTGTAAAGGTCATTCCATTTCTTGAGGTTGATACAGTATATAGCATAGGAACATAAATACAGTAATATATATAGATAGTGGACAATGCTGGGTGACAAAGTAGATAATTATTTATTGAACATCAAGATGTTTCCTTTGACTTCTAAGTTCAAAGACATTTTAAGCTTATTTCAGTTGCATTCTCCTTTCCCCCCCCATCATTAGTACCACCACAGGGAAAAAAAAAAGGCCAATAATGTGAAGTGAACACCCACATAATGAGGGGGAAGGAGGGAGGTATGGTGGTTATTTTTAGTTTGTTTGCCCCCATTGAAATGCAAAATAGCACCCTTGAGTTGCAGCAATTGCAGCAAATTTACCATTATGCTCTTGAGGTTTTGTCCATATACTGTATCGTGGTGGGCTGAACCAGAAGGCAATCAGATTAGGAGGGTATTTCAAAAATCCACCTTCATTTGAATGAAAATAAGGAGGTGATCATCAGGTCACTGAATCTCACAAGCTGGGAGCCTATGAATTCAATTTGGAATAAATTTTCAGGATTCTTACCCTCATAGTCCAAGTCCTTGATGGATGAAGAGTTGGTCAATTGAGAGGCAGCTGGGGAGATAGCTCAGGTGTTATAATCAGCAGAGCCTTTTAAGCAGCTGGGTGGGAAATGAGTTGAGGCATAACTATTTGAAGGGTAGTGAGTGCTTATGGGAGGTAGTTTGCAAGACTTGTATAATTGGAGAGTCCCTCACTGAAGATGAAGGGAGAAAGTGTTGGATTCCAGAAGTTTCCAGCTGTTTGCAATGAATCAAGTGGTAACTAAAGGGTCTTGACTGGTCTTCTTGCTTTTTTTCCTTAACCAGTGAGAAATGCCTGTGCTTTTGCTTTGTACAAGCTGTTGCATAGCACAGACATCTGACAAATATGGCAAAATCTAATTCTGACTTTGTCTCTTAGTTTGTTCTTTTTTAAAAAACTTGCTTATTTTCAGGCAGGGTTATAAAGCTTATTTCTATTTTTTTAATGATCTAAGTGATTTTGTTGACCCTATAGATGATTGCTCTATGTCTTTCAGATAAATTGGGACAAGCCAAGATAATACATGTTTATCATCTGGACTATATTCTTAAATTCTTACATTCCATTCTAGTTCCATTATAGGAAAAAAATCACTCTGAACAATGATAGGAGACTTTTTGAAACAAAGATTCAATTGCTGAAACAAATATGCAGTGCAAGAAATTATACAAGTTTCAAAGGTGGTTTTACACAAGCAGATAATTAGAAAGGTAGTACTTTGGACTTGATATTTAGATGTATAGTAGTTTAGAAGCTTATTTTCACTCTATTTCAAAAGTAAACGAACTAATCTGTGTTCCAGCTCAGATCCATCACAATTGTTTTCTGTCTGTGAAGAGAGGAATAAGCAGTGACAGTTCTTTCAACTATATTTTACTTGAAATGGTGTACTTCGGTAGGAGGTACCTGGAAATTAGAGCATCTTACTTGATGTCTGCATGTGCTGGGTGGCCAATATGCCTCAGTACACAAGTGGGGGCCAGTTTGCAGTGCTCCTGCCTGGTATTAGACAAGTTAACGATAAACTAATGCCTGTGATTTAAAATAACTTTTTTTTTTCTGATACTAGAAGCTTTCTCCTGTCTTTCAGAATTCATAAAAGTTGAGAGAGTACCATTGTAGGCAGCAGGGTGTTAGTTACTTAATATGGTCCATGTGATTGATTCATGTGTTCTGACTGTAAGAAAGAGCTATCGTTTGCAAGCTGAAATTTGATACAGAAAACATCTCTAGGTTAAGTGAGATGGTAACTAGTGTTACTAGGAATCTGATGATTGCTTAGCAGCAATCTGCAGGTTGCAGACTCCTCAGGTTAGTTTTGCTTATCTTCTAGGTTGATTTATATTCCTGGTGTTGAAAAGCCTTTTCATTTCTATTGAAAGATGGAAGCAGAACATGCAATACATGTTCAGACATCCACACTTTGAAGAGGTGCAACTCCTCCTAAACTGTATTAGAAGCATCTATACTATGAAAGTAGTACATTGAATTTATTTCCAAAACATAAAATACATATTTTAGATATACAGGAACAGAACAAAGCTGAGCTAATCTTTGTTATTACATTCTAAAATATCTCTTGAAAAGCACAGGCATTAATTTTGCTGGCTGTTAATATCTATGTGATGTACAATAAAGCTTCTGTTTATTAGGTAGAAGTGCCAACTTCCTAAACAACAGGAAAGCATTTACTTTCATCTGACAGTGCACTGCAAAATCAGCCTTTCTGTAGTCACTATATCCCATTTGCTTTGGGCTACACCACCATTTTCAAGACCCATAGTAGCCATACCAATTTGCTCTGGAAGATATTTATTTTTCCTTAGATGCTCTTCTCTCACACATGATTTTTTATTATTATTTTTTTAGGAGGAGATTTTTTTGTGGGCTTGTTTAATGAAAAAGACAGAAATCAAACCATTGAATACCTCAGATTTTGCTGACTGATAGGCAAGCAATGTAACTTGCTCTTAGTGTGATTTCCTGGTTGAGTCCTTCTTTTTAATTTTTCTGAGGGAAAGGTTTATAGTTGTGTTTCAGGAAGTTCTTTTGGTAACCGTTTCCCTCCCATTTATAAATAAACCCCAGAGGGGAATGTAGGTTGTTTGTTTTTTTTCTTTAATGAGTTACAGCAAACCATCAAAAAAGTTATATTCTTAGGATTTTGTTATATTTTGTTTAATTTTAAGTGATCTTTATGGAGTATTATTCTTCAGGAGGCCTTTGATACAATTCTGGCTTTCATTTCCTTGTTTTCTAATGTACTTCCACAGCACTCATGGTGTCAGTCACTGATCCTTCATAAGTACTGCAGCATAATGTAGCAAAACAGTTTTTTTGTTTTTCTAGTAATATTACCTACTGTGTGCAGCAGGTAATTAGAGCTTTTTAAAGAAGCTGTATTACTTGCAATATGTTTTCCATTAGTGACTTTGATATTTCAAGTGTTATTTTATTTGTAAGAACTAATTTAGTGGTTAAGTGTTGGTTTTAAATTCCTGATTTCTAGTTCCCTTTATGGATTTGCAGCAGTCTTGGTTTGGCTTTAATGTTTTATTTCCTAAATCTAGGAATAGCCTCTTAAGCAGATAACTTTTCTCCACTGCTTACAGAGTCAAATAGAAGATACTGAAAAAATTAAAGTATTGTGATGCCCCTTAAATAAGGGATGACTACTACCACACAATCATTGTTGTAATTCTTTGTGAACT